ATGAGGAACACGATGGAAGTCCTTAAAGGTTCGATATGTGGTGTTTAGGTGATGTTTATGAGTTGGAGATTACAGTTATATGGACGGGAAGGAAATTTAGAGAAGAGAGAGGAAAGATGAAGGTTACATGTGTGTGTGTGTGTGTTTTGTCACAGGTTGTCCAGCAATAAACAAAATCATAAGCCCTAATTGGGCTATGGAAATTAAGGCATAACAATTGGGTCCAATTGAATATAAAACCAATCCAATTTTGATTGGGTTATGGATTGTAGGAATTAAGGCGATTAGTGGCATATGATGACAACCCAAATTATCTTTATCTATTTGTAACATTTTCGTTACAAATCCGATGCGACCCTAATTCGCGTCAATTCTCTAGTGATGTTGAGCACAATTTAATTACGTCAACGAAAAATAATTTAAGATTATCTACGTACATCCACTTCACAAGGCCAACGAGGGTAAAATAGTCATTTCCATGTTTTCAAGGATAAAATATATAATTATTCGGGACGGGTCATCACATCATTATTTGAATATTAAATTTAATTACAAGTCATTAAATTAGTACTAGGTTGATTAAACCTTATTCCTTTTTTATTTTTTCTCTTCGCTTAGAAGTGAGAGATCTTAGTTCGAATCTCATAGATGACGACTTCGATACCAAATTAGGCTGCCCATATCATTTTCAAATATAATCTTTTTAGTATTTTTTTCTTCATATATTTCTATTTATAATTTGTACCCTTTTTTTTAATTTATACCAATATTCTTTTTAGTTTTAATTTGTACCCATAATTTTGAATTTTAATATGTACCCATATTTTCAATTTAATTTGTACCCATAGTTTTGAATTTTAATAAGTACCCAAAATTTTTAATTTAATTTATACCAATATTTTTTTTATGAACGTACCCATGCTAATTATATGTGTTTATTTTATGTTTTAAAATATGTCAAAAGTTATTTCTTGCACTATATTAATAATTGCATGAATACATTTTTTTTTTTGCTAGAACTATGAGAAAAATGAATTACTCTATTATTGATTTTTTAAGTAATTGTTATATTTATAACAATATTATTTGAATTTGTTTAAATTTTATAATTTGTGGGATATTAAATGCATAAATGTATGAGTTAAATCCCTTAAATGATGCTAGGGACATTGATTAAACTATTTAAACAAATAAGGTTTCATTCTAACAACTAGGTTGATTAGGGACCGAAACCAAAATGACCTATTTAATAAACAAATGATTGAATTACATTATTGTGTGCGTGTGAAAGACATTTTTTACCACCAACGGTACACACCTCTTAAGATGTTTTGAACATGATTAAAAATAAAGAAAATAATGTTTAATAAACAACTGATTGAATCACATTATTGCTAGTCTATTGTGAGGCTAAGCTCACCCAATCTGCCTTAGTGTAGATAATTTCGTTTGTTAAAAAAAACAATAATTTGACAACTAATTGAATCACATTGTTATGCGCGTGCAAATGACCTTTATTATAACCAGCACTACGCGCTTCTTAAAATGTTTTAAACGTGTTTAAAAATAGAGAAAATAATATTTAATAAACAATTGATTGAATCACATTATTGTTAGCCCATTGTGAGGTACTAACAAAAAAAATTAAAAAAAAACACTGTACAAAAAATTTAATTATTAAAGAAATACTGTTTATATGACAAAATACCCCTGCATTATTTGATGCATTATTTTGGGTTACTTTTGAACTTTTTTGTTTGGGGGGCATTTTTATCCCCTTATTTTTGGTGAAGCCGTGGCTCCACAATGAAGTTGCTTGTCACAGCCCGTCCCGAAATATTTAGTTTCGACGGTGTGAAAGGACTATTTTGCCCTTGGATGTTTTGTGTGATTGTGTGGTTTAAGTTGAAAGTGAACTAATACCTTAAGTCCCTATTATTTGGAACTAATTAGGACTTAAAGTTGTTATGGTTTTGTGGTTGTTGGAAGTCAAAAACTTTGGACCACACACACACCCCAACTCTCTCTTTTCCCGTGTACTCTCTCTCTCTCCTCCCTCTCGATTTTCTTCTGTTTCTGTCAACTTTGTATGGACGAACTCCAAGCCTTCCATTTCAAGCACGGATTGAGGTTTTAAAGGTAACATTCAAACTCCTTGCATGCCTAAGAGTTGATTTATACCTTTATTTGGCCTCAAAACCTTCGAAACCTAGTTTCTCACGAACTCCGATTTAGGTATTGTTCATGCACTAATTATTGTGAGGTTTTTAGGAGTTTTTAAGGGCATATGAAGCTTTGAATCATCCTCACGAAGCTCGGAGAAGAAAATGAAGTGATTTGGACATCGGAAAGTTGAGTTTCGACGAGTTGTAGGTTTAGCCGGATTATCGAGGGATTTTTCAAAGAGTTTCGTGGGTTTTAAGGCTTTTGAAAGGTATGGTTGTATTCTACTAGTGTTAAGCTTTAAATTGGTTAAGTTTCATGCAATTTGGTTGAGAAATGGACGAGAAATGAAAGTTTTAAAGTTTTCCAGTTTCCGGCGACGGCGACGGTCGCCTAAGTACGAAGGTAAAGGATGACGGAATATTCCTAATGGCATTTGTTAGTTTTAACGGTTTCCGTTACTTTTTAACGGAATATTCCTAACGGGGTTAAGGGATTCCATTAGGGTTCCTGCTCATGGCCGCGCGTGTTGCCGTACACTTGTCTGCGCGTGGTGGCACTAGGGACGTTGAAATTTTTTTCTAAAAATATGGGGATGTTCGTGAGGTTGTGTAAATCACGTTGGTATATTCAAGCATCCCATTTGAGCATTGTATGAGAAGTTATTAGGTAGTATTGGTTATGTGCTTTAAATAACGTTTTTATAGTTGTTTCGCATATAGGGGAGACTTATCCCAAGGACGAGCGCAGTCAAGGGAGACTCGGGGGCTACGACCCTTCGACATACCAATGAGTGGGCTTTTGGTTTTAAGTATATATGTATATGCTTGATATTTTCCCAGAAAATGCATTTGAATGAGTTATGACTTAAATTGCCATGCCAAATGTTTTAGAGTTAGATTATGCATATGATGTTGCATATATATATATATATATATATATATAATTGTGGTGCTGAGGATGCTTAGGTAAGTCCCAGGTGAGTTCATGAATTGTGCATGTGAATAACGGTTGTGATTAATTGAGAAACATTGAGCTCATAAACCTGCACCCCGGTGTTAGTGATTTAGCAAGAGATATGACACATGCCTGTTTATAATGTCACCTCCCGCTCCATATGCTCACATTGGATCCAATTTAGGTGCACAATCTTGTTGTACAAACCATTATAGGTGGTTCTGACTCGTAGGTGACTAGCGATTTATTGCACAGCTATTATGAGAGCTTAGTATTGAGCATAACTATATTACACCCAGTCTTGTCATACATACCTTTACTATGGTTCAGACTCGTGTGTAGCGTAGTGTCGTATAGGTCACTTGCAGTGACTCCGGCTAGATTGATTAATGAGCTATGATTTCAGCCATGTAGACTTCTACAAGGGTTTCGGCTAATATGTTATTTTTCATGAATTTATTTTCACTTGAGCTACTTATTTTGCTTTATATTTTGGCATGGCATACTTATGAATATGGTTATGTTAAGCATGATTTGAATATATACATACACACACACACACACACACACACACACACACATGTTTATATTCTATTTCTAGGAAAATTATACATGTTTTACGGCGAGGGGTTAGGGCATTTTGATGATTAAATGGTTTAGAAAAGCTTTGTTTTTACCCACTCACATTTTCTGTTTTGCGCCCCTCCAGGTTTTAGGTAGACTTGCTGTTGGTGGTTTCTGACAGAATATAATATTTGTAGGATATTTTCCGGTACTGTATAACTAATACTTGTCCTACTGGACTGCACCTAGACTTTTTATGCTCTGATTAGGTGTATTTACACTTGTATCTCATTCCTAGTACTTCCTGCTTATTAGTGCAGATTAGTAGCTTTCGGTTTTTATTTATTCGTATATTTCTTATCCTTATTGCTTCCGCACTATGCACATGGCTACGTCACCCTCACATGACGGCCAACATGCATCGATCTTGATCGGGGTGTGTCATTGCTAGATTTATATATAAAGATTCACATACGGTATTTTGTATCCAACTCTGTAATTTTTTTTTTAACAACCAATAGGGAAGAAAAATTCATTCAGGTATAAATTATAATACAAATTTGTAGACACGCTTTTTGATAGAGATGGATGGTATCATTATTCGTGGGATAATTCACTTGTACTAGCTAGCCTAGTTTGGTTGCAAAATGCTGAGACAGCAGTCATTACTCATATGCATAAGTTGTAGAATAATGCAAAGTGATGTAATCGTCTAAAATAAATAATGTGAATTATTCATGTAGGCATTTGCATTATGCGTTTATTCCATTTAGCCACCATGTTAGAGAGTAAGGAATGGTCTCCTCATCTTCACAACCCCACTCCCACTCCACTTACAGGGTGTCGGTGTCAAACAGAGCATGAATGCTCCCACATATCTTAATTTGATTCTTAAATTCCTCACCAATTTTGCCCCCAAAAAAAATCCTCATCAGTATCTACACACACACACACATCCATACATAACATATCCACACATGTATATATACGATCTCTTATTAATTTTTAGCAGGATTTCACTTTTATGTTATAGATTATTCTCACGCTGATGAGTAGTGTCGAAAAAAGATATAAGAGATAAATCAAGTAGTTAGAGAAGCATATATGCATGCATATTAGTGGCTCATACATACACACACATATATATATATATATATATATATATATATATATATATATATATATATATAGAGAGAGAGAGAGAGAGAGAGAGAGAGAGAGAGAGAGAGAGAGAGAGGAGAGAGAGAGAGAGAGAGAGAACATTTTATTTCTGCATATAATAAGATTCAAAACCCATATGGAATATGCCTCCATATGGCACGTTTTGTTAGAGATATATGGATCGAAGGTGACAGCTGCCTTGAAGCAAAGAACAAGCATATATGGTTTACGGTCCACACTCCACAGAGAATATAATATATTTCCTGAATAATATATATGCTCCATATCACCATCAGTATTCAACTGTGTACCGCGACGAGCATGCACATTCCTCAAGAATTTATGTCTATATATATGCACAGTACGTGGCCGTAACCAATAACCATCGATATACCAGAGTTATCTGTTCGTCATTCTTGATCTGCTACGTACTATATATATTAACTTCAAGGTAATAACATTATCTTAAATTTCTATTATATATGTTGCATGATTCACTGTCTCATACTCCATCTCCATGTACAGAATTGAATTTTATATATTATAATCTTTCGGCGTTTTAATTTACTGATCATACATGGACTGGCATATTAATACATCATGCTTTCATTATATATATACTCTTTTGGTCCTTTGTTTTGCGAGTGTTGTTTCCACTTTCAAATGAAATTGCCATGCATTCATGTATGTTCATCATTAACGTACGTAAGAACTAAGAAGGATTAGATAGATGGCCAGGATTAATTCCAAACAGGAAATAGCTCTTATGATTTCTTATTGCAAACTTAAATTATTTCAAATTAATCGTTAGCTCTTACTAATTTGTGGAACCGGCAGCTTGTTCTGCAGGTATATTCTTGAAGATGGATGCGGCCATTGGGAGGTCCGGTGGAGCCAAATATGACTGCTTGGTTTTTGGTATGATACAAATCATTCAATGGAAAACGTTAATTTGTTAAGATTTCTGGATTAGTTGTCAATGTTAATTCAACTCTTTCTTACTGCAAACCCTTTTGATTAATTAAGTGATTAATGTATTTGTGTTAAGATTTCTGGATTTGACTATTAAATGCACATTCTGCAGATTTGGATGATACTCTTTATCCCCTGAGCTATGGTCTCAACTTGGCATGTCGCAAGAATATTGAAGGTACGTATATGTGTATATATATATATATATATGAATCAGATATATCGATAATGTATTTACATAGTATAAGTTATAGTCAAAACTACATTAAACAGTATTAACTGATGATCGAGGTTGAGCAATTACTGCAGAGTTCATGCTGCAGCAATTGCAAATAGAAGAAGGTGAGGTACCAAGGATGTGCCTGGACCTATACCGGGAATATGGGACAACCATGGCTGGTCTAAAGGTAAAATTTACAGATCACTAGCGAACTGTCCTTGCAGTTGCATTCCCCTTTAGGTTGGTGGAGTCGAGATTTTCTATCAATCTCACTTCAAATCATAGCTATATATGTATACCTTGAATTTTGATATATAGTCCCACTTAATCTCTCTCTCTCTCTCTCTCTTTCTCTCTCTATACTACATATTCATCCAGGCTCTTGGTTACGAATTTGACAATGATGAGTTTCATGCCTATGTCCACGGTAGACTGCCCTATGATGTATTGACGCACGATCTGGTGTTAAGGAACCTTCTGTTATCAATGCCCCAGAGAAAAATAGTACGTCAACTAATTAATTAAATTTGTTAAAACTTGTTTAGATGACCTGCAATTCATCCTGCACATATCTATGACATAGTTACATATAGTGGTCAAGTCGGTCTCTTTGTTTATGTAAACTAATTCATTAAGATGCTTCATTGTGTTGGTGGTTTCAGATCTTTACTAACTCAGACAGGGCGCATGCAGCTCAAGTTCTCAACAGGTTGTGCTTGGAAGATTGTTTTGAAGGCATCATATGCTTTGAAACTCTTAACCCTCCTCATAATCTTTATGATGAAACAGAAGTACTTGATTGCATGAGCAGTACTCCTACTGCAGCAGATGACCTCCGTACGGTCCTCCCAAAACAGGCACTGGAGGCTAAAGCCACTGACTTGACCGTTACTAGTCTAATTGGTCCCCCCAAGTCACCAATCCTTTGCAAACCCTCCGTGAAAGCAACTGAAGCTGCTATTCGTATTGCAAATGTTGATCCAAAGAAAACAGTAAGATCGGTCATTCAATGCTTTCTTAGCTAGACATGGAACATCGCGCTTTAATTTCATTTTATTTAGCTTCAAACAGAGATGAAGCTGTATAATGGAGATTCTTTTCCCCTTCTGTTCTCAGATTTTCTTTGATGACAGTGCTCGAAACATAGCAAGTGGGAAGGCAGCAGGACTTCATACAGTCATTGTAAGAACTATCTACATGCAACTAGGAAAAAAAATAGATCAATTGAAGCATTCAAGGATGGAAACTTCAAGCATATCACAAATAAATTAAACAAGCAACTCAACTAATTGAAGTTGAATGAAGTTTTCTGATACAATTAAGTGGAAAAACTTATGGCAGGTGGGGAGCTCAGTACTAGTGCCCGGTGCAGATCATGCGTTGAGTAGTATCCACAACATTAAAGAAGCATTGCCTGAGATATGGGAAGGGGAAGAAGGCCAACAACTCGAACAATTTATGCAGTCAAATACCGTTGAAACAGTAGTCCTAGCATAGGTCTTCTACCGTGCCACAATTTCCACCACCTTGTAATGCAAATTTCATCTAATCAAGGCTGGCGGTAATTTGGTGAAATAAATGGAATTAAAGATCTTTATGAATCCAGCCTATTATTACACTTGTAAAACGATAGAATTTAAAGAATAATTTGTGTAACTGACTCCTGGTTCTTGTATAAAACAGACTCTGTTTTGCGCAACAGGACATATGGGACACCTCCATTCTAGCTTATGTATTGGCATTTGAACTTTTCTCGGCAGCAATGAAACGTAGATGCATGATTGGTAAACTATATTCCACAAAATAATTAATATACATAATTAAGAACAACTCTGGAGTGGACACACCGGCAAGCTGCGTTCCACAGTTGTACTTTATGTCATGAAAAAGCAACTCTCCACGGTTTACGGTTTTGCATGGTAAACGAGGGAAATCTGACCTGCTTGTTTCTTGGGATTCATATTTCCTCAGAACATCAGTTCCTTCAATTACTGTTGGAATTTATTAGATTTATTTAGGAAATTAATTAGAGATTTGATTTGATTTTGTAGTAGGGTATTTTTGGCATTTACGCATTAGGATTTCTTAGGTTTATTGCTCTATAAATAGAGCTTGTAATTTAGTTTGAGAAATAAGTTAGTCACAATGTAGCCTCTTAGGGTTTTGTAGCCGTTCTGGCATTCTCAGTTTGTTTAATAATATTTGTTGATGCACAAAATCAGCGAAGACTTTGGTACAACAGAAAGTGTCAGGTTTTGTGACCTTCGCTTGGTTGCTTCGGTCACTAGTGAGGATAAGTACGTAAATGAATAGAGACAGAGAAGCAAACACAGGATGTACGTGGTTCACCCAGATTGGCTACGTCCACGGAGTAGAGGAGTTCTTATTAGTAGTGAAGGGCTTACACAAGTACAAAGGATCAAGCTCTCAATTTAGTGAGTTCTTGTGAATGATTTCACACAAAATGGCATTAGGCAATATTGTGGGGGAATGACCCCTATTTATAGAAAAACTTGTAGCTTTGTCACATTGACATGTGTCATGTTGTGATTGGTTCTTGATGTCGACACGTGCTGCGCTCTGATTGGCTTCTAATCTTGACACGTGTCGAGTAGTGATTGGCCTCCTGGTCGGAGGGGAACTCTTCTGGGTCCTTGACAGTATAGCGTTGGCCGGTGCTCGGTAGTTTCGGGATTGGTCAAGTATGGTACAAACAGTGCTCCCCTAAGTTCCCGAGTGAGGGAAACTCCTCGGTTGGGGACTTGCAAGATCCGATCCCTTGAGTAATCACGAAACTTCTAAGTACCGAAGTGTGGTCTGATCTTCATCTGCCCTTCTCTGGAAGTACCTTTCCTCCATCCGGGAATGGTGTGTATTTAGCTGACGTTGACGCACAAGGTAATGTATCAATTTCACTTGAAGCTTAGTTGTAGTTTCGGGCTTAGTCAAGTGTGATACAAACCCTATAGTAGGAGTCCCCCAAGTCGCCGAGCTAGGAGATCTGCCGAAAGAGGTGACAGACAAGGTAAGCAGTCAAACTTCCAAGTAAGCAACCCAGGATCAGAGATTTGACTTCGGCTTCCGGTTGATTGTTCTTCTTCTCCTTGTCTCTCATTCAACTGTCAGGATAAGGAGAAGCAAATGGATAAGAGATGATATGAGATACTTTTGCTTTTGAAGAAGTAACTTTCCACAGGCTTATTCTTGAACTGTGCTGGAGGGTTTTCTGGTGCCCTTCAGAGTATAAGGCCGACTCAAAAATTTGAGGGTCAAAACAAGTCCATCAAATCTAGAGTACGTTCGACCTTGATGATATGGGATACTTTTGCTGTTGACGGAATAATGAATGTGATCTGGAAAGGTGTCGTGCTGTAGTGATCTGTTTCAGCCCACCGTTGAACCTTCTGCTTCAATCTTTTGCATGGCAGAAGTGGTGTGCAACCTTTGCATTTAAATGGTCCTTCAGAACATTCCTTCATAGTGACTCATCCCCGCTTGGCAGCTTCAGTGTAAAGAGCCAATATCTGATCAACTGTCATGAGGTATTTGCCGGTGGAATTCGTGACCTTGACAGCAGTTGAGGATGAGTACTCGAGAGCAATGCTAAGTAAGCAACCAGGCAAAGGCTCCAGGCAGTCAGTTCCAAATTGGAGGTTTGATTTCAGGTTCCGACTGACTGCTCTCTTTCTCCTTGTCCTGCAGGTGTGGACAAGGACAAAGACAAAGACAGGGAGAAAGCATGATATGGGATACTTTTGCTTTCGACCCTGATGATATGAGATACTCTTGTTCTTGGTGTGGCTTATTTGCTGAGGTATTATCGGGAGGAAATAAAGCTGAGTATTTCGAGAGGTTATGTTGAGGGTGCCTTTTCGAATGCGAGAAAGGGTTGAGCATTTTTGCAGGTTTGCCTGTCCGTTGAGGAGGGAGGTCAATGTATATAGGGATTTCCCAATAACAAGTAGTAATGCTATTCCTTTACCCTTCTTGGTCACAGCAATGTAGTGGGAGCTGCCAGCTTCACGTGTTTTAATTTTGTCAGAGCACTTTGAAAAAGTGGTATGTGGTATCTGGAAAGCTGATATTACGTGTGAAGATTACAGACAAGCTTTATCTAAGGAAATCTGGCTCTCGAAGTTCTGAGAGTTGTGCCTCTTCGGCTTTCGAAGAAGCAATCCCGTCGAGGGTCTGACTCTCGAGATTCGGAAAGCGGTGCTACTCCGGTTTTTGAGAAAGTAATTATGTTGGGAGTCTTTTCTCGAATGTGAGTAAAGGTTGGACGTTCTTGCCAACCTGTCTTGCCGCAAAACACGGAGGTCGACACACATAGGGACTTTCCAGTTGTCAAGCAGTGGTGCTGTTCCTTTACCCTTATGGGTAATAGTAGGGTAGCTGGAACTTCGAAATTCTCGTGCCTAAACTTTGTCAGAGATCTTTGACAAAGTTATATGTGGTACCCGAGGAGTTGATGGTGCATATGGAGAGCGGTGATTGAACAGTAAGATTCACGTGCTTTCTACTTCACCAGAAATCTTCGACAGATTGCCCGTAATTTCCGCAAAGCTGATTGTGCATGTGACAGGTGCTGACGAGGCTGAAAAAGCAGGTGCTTCTTCGATTTCTGAGATCGGCCCTCGTGGTCTCTGAGCAGCCCAGCTTTTGAGAAAGCAAACGCTTCTTCGATTTCTGAGATCGGCCCTCGTGGTCTCTGAGCAGCCCAGCTTTTGAGAAAGCAAACGCCTCTTCGATTTCTGAAGCTCCGTCGAGTGCATATTTTTATAGAGGCTGGCATTAAGTTCCACAGCACACTTGAATCTCTACCAGTAGAAGCTCATTTCTTGCACTTCTAAGATCTTGATTTGTCTGACCTCTTCCTTCTTCAACACATTTGAAAATGTCTGGACCCTCCGACCGTCGTTTTGACTTGAACCTTGGAGAAGAGACAGCCACGCCTTCTCCAGACAACATATGGCGCCCATCCTTCATATCCCCTACTGGTCCTCTTACCGTTGGGGATTCTGTGATGAAGAATGATATGACCGCTACAGTGGTGGCCAGGAACCTTCTCACTCCCAAAGATAACAGACTACTTTCCAAACGGTCTGATGAGTTGGCTGTTAAGGACTCTCTGGCTCTTAGTGTTCAGTCAGTGTGCAGGTTCTGTGTCTAATATGGCCCAACGCCTATTTGCTAGAACCCGCCAAGTTGAATCATTGGCTGTTGAAGTGATGAGTCTCAAACAGGAGATTAGAGGGCTCAAGCATGAGAATAAGCAGTTGCACCGGCTCGCCCATGACTATGCTACAAACATGAAGAGGAAGCTTGACCAGATGAAGGAATCTGATGGTAAGGTTTTACTTGATCATCAACGGTTTGTGGGTTTGTTCCAAAGGCATTTATTGCCTTCGTCCTCTAGGGTTGTACCTGGTAATGAAGCTTCAAATGATGAACCTCCAATGCCTCCTCCTTCTGGGGTTTTGTCAAGTACTGAGGCTCCGGATAACCACCCTCCGGTGCTTTCTCTTTCTGGGGCTCTACCGACTGCTGAGACTTCCCCTAAGCAACCTTTGTGAAGACTCCCTTTTGTTTGTTTATTTTGACTCATGTATATGTACATATTTGTGGCTTATCGAAAATATTAATAAATAAGCTTTGCTTCATTTCAACATATTGTGTTAAATACACCAAAGCCTTCTTCATAAAGTTCTTTGAATTTTTGCTTTTGTTGAAACCTGTATTGTTGAAGCTTTGTGAGTGAAGCATGTAGTTTGAGGTAGTGTTCCCTTAATTTCCCGAGTGAGGAAAACTTCTCGGTTGGAGACTTGAAAAATCCAAGTCACTGAGTGGTTGTGAGACTGCCGAGTATCAAGGTGCAGTAGCATATGGTGGGAGTCCCCCAAGTCTTCAGGCGAAGAGAGTTGCCGAATGAGGTGTCTCGCGTGTTACTAATTTGTCAAAGTAACGAATCCTTGTTTCGATGTCACACATTCGTATATGCTTTATCTAAAAATATTTCCAACTTTTGTGTGTTTGATGCTGCATGCTATTGACTAGACAAGATCAAGTGCAATTAGTAGCTTTTCTCTCTTTTTCATCTTTTCTTTGGTGGAATTGCTTTTCGTTTCCACTAATCAGCCTGAGTGGATGCAAGATAACACCTTTCTCTATAGCTCAGATTGCAAAGTCGTCTTCATGAAAGTTTTTCCTTATCTTGTGAACTACAACATATCCAAATTTGAGATCCATCGGAGTAGTACAACTTCAGAAATTCAAGTATGATGAGTAACTGTTCATCAATGTTCTGTTAATCCGTCAGACTTGTTGTGAGCTTCGAAACTCCATTTTCTCTTGTTCAGATCAACATACTTTCTTCATCGAAGTTGTTCCTTAACTTGTGAACTACTACATATCCAAATTTGAGGTCCCTCGGAGCAGTATAACTCCAGAAATCCAGGTATGATGAGTGACTGTTTATCATTTGTCTGTCAACCCGTCAGATTTGTTGTGAGCTTTGAAACTCTATTTTCTCTTGCTCAGATCAGCATGCTTTCTTCATTGAAGTTGTTCCTCAGCTTGTGAACTACAACATATCCAAATTTGAGATCCCTCGGAGCAGTATAACTCTAGAAATCCAGGTATGATGAATGACTGGTTATTATTTTTCTGTCAACCCGTCAGATTTGTTGTGAGCTGCGAAACGC